ATTAAAAATGATCAAGATATATTAAAAAAAACCAGTTCTTGCTATTTATAAAATTTTGTTGTTCGCTTTAATTCTTTGACAGGAAGTTAATAAAATCATGACTACTTGTCTAGACAGTTGTTGTGTTAAGTTACAGAGAAAGAGACGAGAGATACTAAATGGATATTAAAACTCAAACTGACAACACCATGGCACAGGTATAGAAATTGAATCAATCAGAGCAAGAATTATATAACGGAAAGGAAGTAAACAACCTAAATCTCCGACCCAGATCTCTCCGTTTAAACTAAATTCCTACCATTATGACAAAAACGACCATAGCACAAATGACAACTTACCTTAAAATTGTGTGAAATGCCGAAGCAAATTGCACAAGAGAAAACTAATAGATGTATACTGTATCGTTTCAAACTATATACTACGTTCCTCTACTATTTTTTGGAAAATGATTTTCCAATTTATCTTTTCCTTTTTATTAGAATTATTTCATATAAATATATTTAAAATCTCTGTTCCGTTTATCACCCTTAAATGAAGTTCCAAAATATCACGACATGAACCAGTTATCAGCCATTTGTAGCTTGAACCTAACGTATTACATGTATATATTCTAAATACAGAATTTTGCTTCTCAAATTTGATGGTCGTATCAAAAGCGAGGTATTATCCTCATTTGTCTACATAACGCTACATTACTTTTCCAACAGCGTCTGGAAAATCCCATATTATAAAAATCATCTGCCAAACAACTTTTGTCAACTAGAACCAAGCTCTGCAGGAATCTTTGTCTGTAAATACCTGAACGCATTTGGATTGTTTGTGTGTATCTTGATATCAAAATGAATACCATGGCCAAAATGTATCCGATTGGCTGAAATTGCAAAGATATTCTGACGAATGTCCTGGCATATCGTTAGAATGATTCACAAAAAGTGCTATAATTATTGAAAGGTGTTGATGCCAATTCAAATCCACATGACCGCCATCATTGATCATAGTTTAAAATAGAACCCCATAAACAGTTAATACAGTAACACGTAGTTTCTTCTCAGAAACTCTCTCACACATTGAAACCAAATTTTGCAAACAGAAATCCGACTGATCCGTTTTTGTTGCCAAACAATATAAGAAATGACCACTACGGTAAAGCATAATACAACCATACAGAAAATGCGTACAAACAGGTTCCCAAAAAACGTTTCAAACATCGTTGTATCAAATCATGTAAAAATACTCGTAAGGTGTTCACATACAAATTTTGATGCCTATCTGAAATCTAAATACTTATCAAAGTTACCACGTTTATCAATTGACACTCCAGACGCGTGTGTCGTCTACATCAGAATTATCAGTGGTGCTCGAATCAAAAAGTTAGCAGACCAAGTCAAATACGAAATTGAAAACAAAACGTTTTGAATAATTGTTAAAAAACGGCTAAGTGTATATATGCTTGTGAGAAAAATCTTAGTGTTTAGAATGTTTCTACATTTTATAAACAATCAATCTACAGAAACGGCACGTATCAATGATAGTTCATGTCAGTACAAAAGAGTTGAACATTTGGCTGCTTACGTCCATCAGCAGTTGCATCAACCCAGTGGTTGAAAAAAATCTATCAAAGATAGATATATTTTCGCCACTGTAAAGCATAGTTTAACATTGGACCATATTTGAAATACATACAACAATTTTAATTTAAAACCGTCTCAAACATTGTCAAATCGTGAGCAATTGATAATATACTAGTTTTCATTTTTTCTGTGATCTGAAATTAAAGAAGGAATTCAACATGAAACAAAGTTTAACATTTATACCATGAATTCCAACGAGGAACAAATACAGGAGATTATATTTCCATATATTACTATCTAAATCATATGAAATACAGTATGACAGTCCCCTTGTACCATGACTCAAACATACTAATATAATTCCAACAATTACTATCCACACTTATATGTGTCCACACTGCTACATTTTATAAGATAAATTATGTACGGTTACATTTAGACAAACTGTTTTGAGTTTAAGAAATCAGAGCTACTTAACCTGTTTCATAATTGCAAAATTGGAAAATCCGAATCATGTGATATAGAAGTGCTTTCAAGTAGAAAAGTCCGTAGAAATGTATACTTCTTAACGATTAACCAATTAAAGAGGGCGTTTGCTCAAAAGTAATAAATACACTTCTGGTTAAATTACATTCAGTAATAAATGACAGATCTTCAAAATTATGCAATGTCAAGGACATAAGCAATTTTAATTCATTGATCAAAACTGAAGGTGGCACGGTAGTATTTCCTGGCCCATAAGGGATAATGATAGCCTTTTTAGAATTTTCACCACTTTCTAACACTGCCAAAAATTCTACATTCACAGTTAACTGAAGAACTTTCATTTTACTATCAGAAATGAATTTGAATATGTATCATGACCGTTTACTTTTTTTGCTATCTTTAAGAACATAAGGCCACTAGTGCTTTTAGGTCTTTTATCGTGCAGTGAATACAAAAATAAAAAAAATTCTCAAATATTCATTTTCATCTGTATGTATAATTATTTCATGTTTTCTACACCTGATTCATCCCTCAGTTTGGGAAAGTAGGTTCAGTTGATACTGTATTTTTTGTCCAATCATAATGTTCAGATACATTGACTTAAGTAGGGTACACAAAAGAGCAACCTAAATTCTGGAATGCAAATACTACCGTGCTACCTGAAGGCAAATACAAAATCTCTTTACTTATGCACTAATGCTGTAATGAGTGAAGTTCGGACAAAATCAGCACAAGGATACGAAGAACACACTGAAAAAAATACTCGTTTGTTTTACTTTTTACTTTTTACTTTTGTTTTTGTTGGAGGTACAATGTAAATGCCAGTGGAATTCATTTGGCCCTGGTGATAAAAGCTGGTACGAACAAGCGGATGGAAGATGGTCAGAATTTAGCTACAATCGTCACATGAAAACGTTTGACCATATACATACAGTATATCCTAGTGAAAAAGCCGTTGTCATACAACAAGATGGGTTACTTCCTTTGATTTTAAATTCAAATGCAGCATACTATGGCAAGAACAAGTTTGCTTCTGGAAGATGGACTTCAACTCGGCGTTGGGAGGGTAATTGGTTTCCACAATATGGAGGCGGATCCGGATATTACTTACAATCGAATGACGGTTGGAAGGAATACAGAAATGGATATTATGAAAAAACATTTCGACATATACAAACAATTCACGTTTCTGAATTTGCAGTTATTTTACATCAGCGTTTTATGTGGGCGTTCGTTTTGACTGATGACTGTGCCTATTACAATGGAATTCAACAATTCTATGGAGAATGGAGCCATTCTTGCCATTGGAAAGGTAAACGTAGTAATGGCATTGAACTATCAGAGTTCAGAAGAATTTCACCTAATTCATGGCACGAATATACAAATGGGAACTACCTTAAAACATTCAATCACATTCAAACTGTTCAGAATGATGGAGTTGTGGTGGTTATTCAACAAAATTTTCAATGTTTGAAACCCTTGATTTTGAGCCAAACGTCTGCTTACTATGATAATGTAAAATTGCAAACGGACGTTGGGACGATCAAAACACTCGATGGGTTGGATACCGTTTTAGTGGAGGGTCAGTTAAATTTGAAAAATTTGGGACAAATTGGAAAGAATATGAAAACGAAAATTATTTAAAAACTTTCAATCATGTCAAACAGATTCGAAGTGATCGTGCAGTCGTTATTATGCAACAATACTGTTTTTGGCCGCTTATCTTAAATTAATTTGGCGCATCCTATAATGGTCTCGAATTTGCCTTGGGGAACTGGACCAATCAATAAAAAAAAAATTAAATGCACAAAGAAAACTCTGACGAGTAAGGCATGCAAAACAAAACATTTATAAGTGCCAATTTTATTTACAAACAATTTATCGTTATATTCATATAGTGACATTAACCATAACATTTTAATTTTTAATGCACCCACCTATACGGCTAAATCATATACCATTCGAAAGCACATCATCTGTACTATCTTTTTTGCCCGGTGTCAAATATTCGTGTATGGTGCAGTTTTCGTCAAATCACGATGAAAATTCTTTAAGTTTGTCCGTTTTAGAAATCAATGAAACCAAAACGAACTTAAATTATCATACCTTTGACGAGATTTGTGATCTCCTAGAATTTTTGTTATAGTGATATACATGTAATTGAAACTTACGATTGGGATCATTTATTCAAAACTCAATAATTAACTACTTTTAAAGTTTTCAAACATTTAAAGTGGTTTTTAGTTTAGTATTATGTTTACTAAAAAAGAGTTTTTAATGTTACAAAATGGTCTCATTCCTCATTTCATAATTTCTCACCGATTCTCTACTGCTTGTTTAAACATATTTTAATGATTTTTTTTTAAATTATGAAAGGTTTATATAGAACGAATTCGCACGGCTGGTAATTCATGCATAATAGGATACCATTTCCCTGTTTACGTACCCAGTTCAGCTTTATTTGGAGTCAATGCAAAGCCCTGAGTTGTTTTTATATTTGGAATAGACTGAAGTATCAAACAATTAACTCTGAAAAAGGGAAGCTTGGTACTTATTTTTCTATAAAAAATTGTTTTAAAAAAGAAAAATATTTAGAACTACAGGATTTTAAAAAAAGACAGTCAATTTGTAAATTAAGAATAAGTGCTCACTTTTTAAAAATTGAGACAGACAGATATTCAAAAAAATATATAGAAAGATCTGAGCGTCTTTGTTCAAATTGCTCACTTGGTAAAGTTGAAGATGAGCTTCATGTTTTGTTAGAATGTTCTCTTTATGATACTCAAAGGGAAGACTTTTTTCAATACATATCTGACAATTGTTATAATTTTAAAAATTTAAATAAATCTTCTAAATTTTTATGGCTCTTGACTCAAGAAAATGTAACTCTTATGGAAAAACTGGGCTGTTGTATTTGTGACTGTTTTGAATTAAGGAGATCAGGTATGCATATTGACACTAAGTCAAGTAAATGATTTGAGAATGAATGCTTATAATGTAATTTTATTCTTTTATTCACAATATATATGTGGTTTTTGGCTCTGATTCTGACCAATGCTAATATACTAAATATATATATTCAAGTGACTATTATTGTTGTTGTTACCAATAATGTAAACCAATTGTATCTGATTTTATGTCCTTTATGGGCCCTGTAATTTGGGAAATAAAAATATTCTATTCTATTCTATTCTATTTTGATTCGTATCTTCATAATGGACTAATGAGGTATTTGACAATTTCGAGTTCAGCGAATATTAAATGGCAAAAGTGTACCTGATAAATATATATATACATATCTCCATCGTACATAAGTGTATCCAATCTTCCTTACAAGTGAATTTACGACACCTTTACACATAATCCGTTCGATGTGTACGAATATGTATTTTAGTCTGGGTAAACCATAATTTATTGTTTGTTGCTTCTAACATTGATTTTCTTTTAAAAATAAAAAAAAAAACCAAAAAACAATCTAGATGATTAATTCAAAGTGAGGAAAACATACGATTCTACACCTTGTCGACATATTATACGTTTACTTTGGCACTCCACAATAATATGTAGTACAGTTGAATCCGGTTCGATGTCGTATTATTTCAGGTTATTAGGGTGTAAGGTCAGACTGGTAGTACTGTTTTTGTTCGATTTTGTAAGCTGATTTAAGAATAAAGATGTACAGTTCATGTTTGTTATGACTTGTCTCATGTTATTTAGTTCCCGTCAAGGCTAGACAATCTCATGGTGGAGGACTTCAAACAGATTAAAACATTTTATTCAGGAGCCGATTATGATGGGAACGTTTTAAGGTCGTCAGATTGATGTGCATCACATTGTGATGATGGGTTTCTTGCTGGTGAAGGACAAAGTACGTGGTCATAGGAGGCAGTCATCCAAAAGGCCAAGTCAGCTTTTCTCATTACTCTTAGTCCGTCGTTTATCGTCATCCATCGTCGTCTGTTATCTTTGACAAAAATATTCTCCTCTGAAACTACTGAGCCAAAATATAACCAAACAGCCAAATCATGATTTAGGTATCTAGTTTAATAATTGCTAACCAAGTTGGCCAACAGGGCTAAAAATAGAACATAGGGATAAAATGCAAGTTTTGTCTACTATTTGAAAACCGCTATGAACAAGGAAAATCTGACAGGGACAGAAATGTTCAGAAAAAGAGAGGCAAAAGATACTTAAGGTACAATCAAACTCATTAGTCGAGAATAAACTGACAACGCAATTGCAAAAAACCAAAGAAAAGACCAAAAAGACCAACAACAGTATACAAAAAATAACATTGAAATCTGAAGACTGAGCAACACGATCTTTAAATTGTAAAAAGTGACCATTAAGAAAGGCCTACCACTAAATTACAAGGTAAAGATCGTCATTCAACTCCTTTTCAGAGTTGTGCCCTTAACTTGCAATTTTTTTAATTTTTTCTGCGTTTTTGCCTAATATCTTAAAAACTTATTGATAGATAGAAACTTTAAGTAGCAAAAAGTGATTTGAAAGGCCAAACCTATAAACAAAATTAATAATTGGAATCTTCATTCGAATCGTTATACAAGTTATTGATCTTAGATAACTATCTTTACCAATTTCTAATCTTGCAAACTATAATAGATAGATAGACGCTTTAATCGAGAAAAATGATCAGCAAGACAACAAGTCTGATTTTGCCTAAACATTTATAGACTCTTCAGAGGAGTGATTGCCGTTAAATGACAATGTGTTGACCCTTTTGTGTTTTTGGCAAAAACTAAAGAAGACAGAGAGAAACTGTAAACAGAAAAAAGGATCTGTTTTGTCATGAATGTATTCGAGTCCACAATGTCGGAGAACATCCGTTGTTGAAGATGTACATAGACTTAGGTGACCGACACAGGCTCCTCAAATCCTCAAGTTTATGTATATCCCATATGCAGGTGAAGTTGGTATGTTGCTGCTAAGGTGAAAAATTATAGTTATACAATTTAAAATATGAAAACAACATACGGCTGGTTAGAATGCAAACCGTTCAGCTTGCTAAATATGCGTAAATAAGTTCCACCAAATATGCAGACATTTTGGTCTGGAGTCAAACCTTACACAATTACACTAGGTACATTGTAAAATCAAAGCTCATTGAACCTCATTGGCCTGGTTTGCCAATACTAAAATGTATGTAAAACTATAATTCAATCGAGTTCAGGTCGGTATGCAGGCAATTATATCTGGTATATCCAAGTAAATAAAATTAAGAGTTCACCGAACACCAGTTTTGTATGCAAGAATACCGTGAACTGAAAAGGTGAAGCAAATAAGCAAGCTGTTTATATTCAAAAATGTATAGGTCGGTATTCTGACAAACAGACCTATGTATTCCAATTTTTTTTTGTTCAGAAGTGTTTATCGCAAAGTGGGTCACTATACAGGAATAAACCCCTGAGTGTTGCAGCTAACAATTGAGAGCTTTCTTTCAAAATAAAACGGAGTAGAAGGCTGTGCATGAGTAATTGTCATTCGGCCTTTGATGGAGAGATGTCTCTTTCGAGATCATAAACAGTTTCCTTATTTTGATTCAGGTTGGTTATGCCGACATAAAGAAATGAGAAATGTCACTACATATCAAATGCGCAGCATTTAGGCATACAAACTTGCCACTATAAACATGTATCTAGAAAAAGAGTTTATATTCCAATAGGTCTGCATGCAGACAGACTTGAATGAAAAATGCAACAAAAATAAATAATTTAGGTCTACATACAACAGGTTTGTTTGCAGGTATACAGACCTGAAGTATTGCCAAAATAAATTATTTTGAAGGTTCTACATATACCAGATTTGTATGCAGGCATACAGATTTGACAAATTCTAGTATACGCATAGAGTGAAAGTTTAGCATACGCCAGGTCGGTATGCATGCATACAGACTAAGAAATGCCATTTATTATCTCAAATTAAAGTTCGGCATACACCAGATTAGTATGCAAGCATACAGACGTAAGATATGTAAATTTATTAGGTAGATGAGATTTCAACATACACCAGGTCCGTATGCAGGAATAAAGACCTGACAAATACAAGTAAGAGAAAAAATACTGAATTTAGCATACCATTCACTTAAACATCTATAATAAAGATGGGTAATTGATATGTTATGTATATGTTCCAGACCATATGAGTATTTGAACCGTACGCGTACGGTCCGACCAAACGCGTACGGTCGGACCGTATGAGTATACTCATATGGTCTAGAACGAGCTGTACCATACATGTATTTAGACCGTATGGGCTAATTTTAGACAGATATTTCAAGTATCAGAATCTTTTATTGAGTTTTACAAATCAATATAATTACAATTAGATGAATAAAGTGAATAAGTGAACATGTTTTGTTCATGCATGTTCCTTTGCATTTCCATCTCTTGCTAGCAAGAGAAAAGCTTGATGCAATGAAATTCCTCCTGTTTTTCAATGTGCAGTTTCAGTTTTGCGTGTCAAAAGTTCTATATCACCCATATCGTAACAAGAGTTTAATATGCCAAATTCACATGATAGTTTGAACAAAGTTGCATCTTGACCAATAATATCATCAACCCTACATAATAATCGTGGAAAATCCTATCAACAACTGGTATTCTTACAGTAACAAAGCAACCTTTCAATTACATGTATTACATGTACTGACATGCTAAATACAGGAGATTAATAAATTAAATTAACGTGACTTTTTCACATAGTTAAAATATTAAGTTTTTATTTCAACTACAATTGGACTTTTTATAATAATTCGAGATTTCTGTTATGTTGATCCGTAATATACATTGTATCATATAAACTTGTCCGACTTCTTAAAATTAGGCAGACCGTACGCGTACAGTCCGACCGTATGTGTATTTTGAAAAAGTACGCAAACGGTCCAGACCGTACGCGTACGGTCCAAATACTCATATGGTCTGGAACATATATATTTCAAAGATGGCATAAAAGTATAACAAAAATGCAGAATAAGTAATGTATGAAGGTTTTATTGTCTCAACTTTTTTCTGATTGTTGAAATAGTTTATTCTAGCATCATATGAAAAAGGGTAATGCTAAAATGATGTGGTTTTGAATTTGCATTAACGAAAAAAGACCCAAAATCTTGCCAAAAAATGACAAGCAAATATAAATAATGCAATACAGAGACTTTTTAACGCGAATTATGACAATCAAGCCAAAAGATGTAGCTTTTCACAAAAAAACGAGTTGAGTGGCATATGAGAATTTCTAATTTTAGATGAGAACGTAATTGTTATAATCTTAATCACTATGAAAACAATCATTTATGTCAACAAAGAAAAACAAAATAGCAAGTCTATTTCACAGTTACCCATAATACAGCGCGCGCTGGCGGAGTTCCGGTTAAATGTAAACAAGGCGGCAAGGATGTAAAAAAATAATATATTATATAGTGTAAAATGTCTTCAATCAGCAAAAAAAGCGTGGCAACATTAATTCAACCTCTTCCTTTAACACCTCAAACTTATAAAGATGTAAAAAATTTAAATTTAACGGATTTAAAACGCCTTTGTATTGATGCAAACATAAAAACTGATGGTGTTGGCCGCAACTCGTTGGAGATATTATTATGCTTTGAGCTGAATATATTGACATGTGGTACCAGTGAAAAAAACGACTTTTGTATTAAAGAACCAAAGATTGAAAATCATTTATTAGATAGGAAGCAGCTAATAGAATTTCAGCAGTTATCCCCCAATTACCTTCTGAAATTACCAGGATGGACAAAAGAGGTGCCAGATATAGACCTTGACATGTCTATGGTAAAGACGGTAGGTCTTTTCACCGCCGAACACCACCGAACACCCCAAAAAATCATTTGTTTGTCTTTTATCGTTATAAATGTGACCTAAATATAATATTTAAGTTATCAATTCAATAAATCATAAGATTAAGAGACCAAATATCTACATAGAACAGAAAAGGAGAGTCTATAACACCACACTTTTTGAAGTCCGCAGACCACCATGGACACCTCAAATATGTTTTTTTTCTTCATTTTTTCCTTCTTCTATGTCTTATATAAAATTGTTGTACCAATAACAAGAAAAGAGAAAAATATCAAAATCTAACCGAGAAACAGAGATCGAGGATACTTGAACTGATTACTTATTATGAATATAATTTATATACACACACAATGTAATCTGGAAAAATAGTGATGAATCAGGAGACGTTTTTCTTGATATTGATTATATTGATTATCGACTTTAACACAAAAATGATGCTCATATATTGACAAAAAAATCTAAAAATTGATTTAACTATACGTAATTTAATGTATTTTATCGTTTTATTGTATAATATCACCATGATCACTGTTTTTCATAGTGGTTGGTGTTTTTTTTGGGGTGTTCGGTGGTGTGCGGTGGTGTTCGGTGGTGAAAAGACCCACCTATGGTAAAGAAGTACCTACTAAACTGTCAAGTGTCTGAATACAATCAAACATCGCTAAGGCAGTATAAACTTACCAGAGCATATCAGCACCTGGATGCTAAACATCTTAATAATGTCTCCTACTGTCCAATTGTTAACAGTGACACATTTTGTGCTGTAAAAGCCAGCTGTTTGCCATCACAGAGTGGTGAAGAAGCAAAAACAAAGTACATGCACATAATTTTAGACCAGCACACATCAGAACCATATGGTGCATTTTGCACTTGTACAGTTGGGTAAGCTAAATTATTCAGTGAACATGGTCAACTAAATACTTGTACTTAGTATAAGTCCAAATAATTATGACGTCTTGAAAGGCTATTTTAATTTTTTCTGTGACGTAGGCGTCACAGAAAAAAATTAAAATAGCCTTTTCAATTATTTGGACTAATGTAGTATACAATGCAACTACATGTGTATTTCCTGATACATCTTTGAAAAAAATAGGGTAGGTAGGTATTTTTTTTTTTTTATTTTAATAATTTTTTTTACCTTGAGTCTATGGGAGGGATATTCTGACTTAAACAGTGCTTATTGAAAAATGACTAAAAAAACTTTAGGGTACATATAGGCTATCTTTGAGCTTAACAAATAGGGAGGGTGCGGTAATAGGAAACAAATTTGGCCTAACCTTAACTCATTATTTATTGTACCAAAAAGCTGTGCTTGATAGCAGTATTTATGCTTTGCATGATGAGCTTTCTGTTTTATGTGTTTTGATAAAACACAAATCCTGGGGCTGATATATATACATTACCTTATTCTCCCAGCAAAATTGAAATGGTTTGTGCTTTCCTTTTATAATCATTTATTTGAAGTGTTTAAATTTCATAGTTCAAGTGCAATAACCTTTGATAAAACAATTATGTTCTCCAAGAATAATTACAATGCCTTTATTAATTAAGTGCAACTGAAAAGATATAAGCAGATACAGATACATTTGAACAGAATGCACATTTATAAAATTTGATTAATTATAAACTGAATTGATGACTATTTTAATGTTAGTACATGAACTGATAAAACAATATTCAAAGATCTTACGATGGTGTTAAATTGGTATCTTAATTAAATAATAAGTAAAAATTGATATCCACATCATGAGTGAAAAATCTATGTAATATGTTCTTTAATTTTTCAGACTGACTCAAGCATGTTCCCATATTGGGGCACTTCTGTTTTTATTGGCAGAAGTAGTGTCAAGGGGGGAGAATTTACCAGAAGATAAGGCTGTTACAGAAAATTTATGCAGTTGGACAAATTCCGAAAGGTTTTATTATGAGTTCCAAAGACATTGACATTATTCCTATATTATTTATTTTTACTGTGTGAAAAGATGCATGACGTTATTGTTTCTTTGTTTTTTCAATGTTGATCTTTTTAAATATTGTTTTTCATGAAAAGTTCCTCATGATTGGTTGGGTTTTTAAGCAGACATGCACTAGTGCAGTTGTTTCGCCCAGATATACCATTAACTCTCGCTGGCAATTTTTCATGAAGCTCAGTTATGTAAATTAAACGGAAGGAAAATTATTTAAAATTTCTTTATTACCTTTAACTCATGCATCTCTTCCACGCAGTTACAAGTAAATGAGACCTTTCATTGTTCATTTGCCAATAAAATAAATTTTAAACAGAATTGATCTTCATATCAGATTTTGATATCCAGATTTATGATAGTTATTTCTTTTTCCAACAATTATATATAAACATCCAAACATTTCTCTTTTTTTAATGTTGCATTCATAATAAGGCTGGCATTTACAACGTTCCATACTGAGCAACAGGTTCTCCAGCTCAGACTTATGAAAAATATAAATCTACTCTCTATATTTACAGCTTTGATAACAGCTCAGTCTATAGCTAGAGCATGTAAATATACATTTAGATGTAAATTTGTGATTGAATTTAGTATACAAATAGGTATACTAGTATTCCAAAAAGCTTTGATATTGATTCCTCTTTTCATTACTATTAACTATCAGACATGCATTTATTGCAAATGTTTGACTATGATCACACAGACTGATTAATTTTAACTATTTTTTCAATCATATAATGGTATATAGCTGCTTTTGTCTGTTTATAGCTCTTTGTTCATGCATCTGTTTTCCTGTTGAAATTTGATATAGTGTTAATTTGTTTTGTTGTATGTGTATTCTGGTCAGTTTCACAGTCTGCAAGTGTTTACATCATATTCTGTCTGCACATAAAGAAAAAAAAATATACATGATATCTCTACTTAGTGAAGGGGAGACAACTCCTGGTCAAATGGTGCATGGAGTTTTTAAGTTCTTCATCATGCCGTGTATAGTATACATCTATCAAAAAGGGGATGTGGTAAGATTTGCCAATGGGACAATTATCCACCAGAGTACATGAACTGTGGAGAAGTATGAGTAATTATAATTCCCTCTCATTTCAATTTGATCTTTAAAATGAGAATTCTAATTATCCGTAAATTGTATTCCTGCATCGAAATTTGCTGACCTATTTAAAATTCTTGACCTATTATGTTTTGCTATCCTCCTTTATCAATGGAGTCTTCATAGAGAGAATTCAAATTTAGCAGATTTTACAAAAAAAATTCCTTAATACATGTACATGTATATACATATTTATAATTTTAAATATTTTTTTTTGGTACTAGGGTTTATCTTTAATGGCAGTACTATTTATATTAAGGTGCCAAGGTTGAACCTAAAAAAGGTGAAGAAATTGATATCAGGAACAAGCCTTCCAGTATAAAAACCTATATAAACGACATTGCACCGAAACTGTCGAAAGAGAGGCAATACCAAAGAACTCTTCAACTGCTATATGACATCAGGAATGCTAATTCAAAAGATGCTATGCCTCCAATCGTCAACATTGTTGACTTAGCAAGATTAAGACCTGTGAAACAACCAGAAGTTTAAGGACCAGAGTCCCTGCCAGAGACATGTACTGAATTTCATTATGGTATTTGCTACGTGGAAAGTATCACTGTGGAAACAACACCACCCTCATTAACAGAAATACCCCATCAACATTTTCAATCCATTGACGATGATGGTTACCAGGAGGGATTGAATAAATACATCAACTTAATTCAGAAAACTTACAATCAAACTGATAGAAGCAAAATAGAAACCCTGACAAGAGGTCAATCTGCTAATGAAGAATGGTTTCGTCAAAGAATAGGGGCAATAACAGCAAGTAAGGTTGTCCGGGTACTAGGTAAAAAGAAGAATCAAAATAATTTTTTGATGGATATTATGAAATACAAACCAACTGATCTTTCAAGAGTAAAACCCATTCAGTGGGGTCTGAAACACGAAATTACTGCTTTGAAACAAGTGACAAAATTATTGTAAAGAGAATAATGCAAAATTAGTTGTTTGGACAACAAAAGGATTGCTTACGATAGATGTTCCATTTGATGAAAAATATTGGACAACCATTATGTTACCAGCTATAAGAAGTTTCTTTGAGACGCATATAGCACCTGAAATTCTAACAGGCAGACTTAAAAAAATCTTTGGACTCTCAGGACAATGTCAAAGACAAAGAGAAGTCTGAGAGCAGTGAAGATTCTACAAATGAATCTTTCTCAGGTAAGTACATTTTCTTTGCTCTTTCCTTAGTTTATCTGCGTTTGAACTTAATCACTGTTAGTAGGCCTTTTTGTGCAAGTTTTTGTCATCACTTGGTGTTTGTCATAAATTACCTTCATTGAAATTCTTCTCTGAAACAGAATGAGGATTTATAGCAACGAAATTTGTCCTTCATTGTGTCCTTGAAGTAATTCCTTAATTTTTTTGAAAAATTGTGACAAGAAAGGATTTGTTAAACACTTTTTTAATCTATATCATATAAAATTATTTGTCTTGTGCATTCCCGAAATGGCAATATTCAATTTCCCATTTATATCCATTTTTCCTTTGAATTGTTTTACATTTATCATGCAGGTCTGGGTTTTTATACGCCCGTTTACGGAACGTATTATGGTATACCGTTGTCAGTCTGTCCGTCTGTCCGTCGTCAACATGTCGGACATTAACTCAAAAATGCTTTAACCAATTTGCATAAAACTTTGGTGAATTGTTTATATCTATTGACGTGAGCTCCCTTTCGTTTTTTATAAAATTTAGATTTTACGTTTCCGAGTAATGGGGTTTTATTCATTAAAAAAAGGGGTGATTTTCCAGTTTTCGGTCAATAACTCAAAAATGCTTTCAACAATTCTTATCAAACTTTGGTGAATTGTTTGTATATATTGATGTAAGCTCCCTTTAAAATTTTCATAAATTTCTAATATGACATTGAGAATTAATTGAACTTTATTTGTTTATAGTCTGACAACAGATTTACTAAGTATTGCACAACAGCAAGAAATCTTTAATTGAATATAAATTCAATTCATATAACCAATTTCAAGTTCTTTGACTACATTTATTCAGAAACCTATAATATGTCAAATATTTAATTACAATCCAAATTCAGACCTGAATCAAGCTTGAATATTGAGTCCATTTTTGCTCCAACTGTTCAGGGTTGGACCTCTGCGGGCGTATCTAGCTGTGCTCAGCGGAGCAGTTTATTTGTACATAAATTAGGCTGTCAGTTTTCTCGTTTGAATTGTTTAACATTTGTCATTTCGGGGCCTTTTATAGCTGACTATGCGGTATGAGCTTTGCTCATTGTTGAAGGCCGTACGGTGACCTATATTTGTTAATTTCTGTGTCATTTGGTCTCTTGTGGAGAGTTGTCTAATTGGCAATCATACCACATCTTATTTTTAAAATTTGCTCATTATTGGAGGTTATATCTGTAAACTTCTATGTCATTTGGTCTCTAGTTGTCTCGTTGGCAATCATACCACATCTTCTTATTTTTATATTATTTGATATTTTCAAAAGTTACTAATTAGACAAATTTGGCAAGAGAATTAATGCCCAGGACATCAATATCTACAGTATGTTCAGTTAAGAAAATCAGTATCTTCAATGTACTGTCAATTTTGATATAAATTGTCAGAAAATACATTGATGAGATATTGCCCTGTAACTAATTTTACCATTTTTATACGACCGTAAAAAAATTTTGCGGTCGTATATTGGTATTACATCGTCGTCGTCATCCAAAGACACTTAGTTTCCGGACAATAACTTTAGTTTAAGTGAATGGATCTCTATGAAATTTAAACTCAAGGTTTGAAACCACAAAAGGAAGGTTGGGATTGATTTTGGGGGTTATGGTCCGAACAGTTTAGGAATTAAGGGCCTAAAAAGGGGTCCAAATAAACATTTTTCTAGTTTCCAGACAATAACTTGTGTATAAGTGAATGGATCTCTATGAAATTTAAACACAAGGTTTGAAACCAAAAAAGGAAGGTTGGGATTGATTTTGGGGGTTATGGCCCTAACTGTTTAGGAAGTAGGGGCCAGAAACAATACTTTTCTAATACTTTGTATAAATTGCTTATTTCTTGACCAATTTCAATGGGGTTTTATTCTTGAATTATTGGGGTTCTTTAATATGCTGAATCTAACCGTGTATTTAGATTTTTAATTTTTGGTCCTGTTTTCAAATTGGTCTACATTAAGGTCAAAAGGGTCCAAAATTAATTATATATAAACTGAGTGTGATTTTAACAAAAATTGAATTCTTGGGGTTCTTTGATATGCTGAATCTAAACATGTATTTAGATTTTGGATTATGGGCAAAGTTTTCAAGTTGGTCCAAATCGGGGTCCAAAATTAAACTTTGTTTGATTTCATTAAAAATTTGATTCTTGGGGTTCTTTGATAGGCTGAATCTAACCATGTATTTAGATTTTGGATATTGGACCATAATAGGTAAATGTCCAATTTATAATTTTTCAGTTCTTAGACCACATTCATTCTGTGTCAGAAACCTATGCTGTGTCAAATATGTAATCACAATCCAAATTCAGAGCTGTACAATGTATCAAGCTTGAATGTTGTGTCCTTACTTGCCCCAACTGTTCAGGATTCGACCTCTGCGGTCGTATCAAGCTGCGCCCTGCGGAGCATTTTATTTAATGATAGATCAAAAACAATGTACACAACAAAAATGGTAATCAAGACATAAAAAAACAAGAGAACAAAGTATGAAGATATTTATAGAAGGAGATGTTTTCGTATACAACACCATAATTCTGACAATTGATTACTTTTAATGGACAATGATGGACATCATTAAAATATTCTATATACAGTCTTACAACTAAGCTCAAGAATTTGCATCAAAATGATATTGAATAAAAAGTGAACTTATCTCCTGCACCACTAAGAAAACACCATATCTTCAAATTAATCTGTCACATCAATTATATTATGTTAGTTCACAGATACCACATGGTTTCTTTCTCAATCTAAAGGTGACAATTGTTGCAAGAAGTGATAAAATGAAATACAAAATACCAATCAAGAAATATATTGTTTTTTCATTATATGTGATTTTGATTTTTTCAATAAATTGCAAGATGAGAATACTTTTAAAAATCATATTTCAAAATAATAAGGTTTTCAAATAAATCTTGAAAGTCAGGATAATCAACATCAAAGAATATTTCCAAAATAAGAATTTAACACACACGAAAAAAGGGGAAGGGGGAGGGGGGGGCAACCCCACATGTGCCTGTGCATTTTCTTAAAATTTTTAAAGTTTAACAATTTTGTGTTTTAAACATCTGTTTGTTAAGTAATATTATCTGTCGCCTTATCAGTATGAAATAACAGATTTATAGCCCTTCTTAACCATTTTATAATTGAGAGAAGATATGAAATTATCACTTTCTTGTGCATGGATGTAGGACTGTATAATGAATCAACAACCATTCTACTTTGAGGGGGTATTTTCAATGTTTTGCAAGCATCAAAGTATGGGTGTTTTTTAATTTTTGCTGTGTGAATCAAAATTTTTTCAGCCCTCGATTAACATTTTAATCAAAATATTTTTTTCCATCTGCTTGATCAAAAGATTTCTTTCTTCAAAGCCAAAGGGTTGGGAATAACAATATATTTTTAGAGAAAAAAAAGACCCTACTTACAGTCAATTGGTTGTTCCTATAAACAAGGTGCAGTTTATGAAATAAAAAAGATTTTAATTGCAAGTTAAGTATCGGTAATCATGAAATTACCTCAAGAAAAAACTGAATAATAATAATACCCCAAGTATATATGTATGGGTGTGTGCTTAATAGTTTTTTAGTCCAAACCAATTTATAAATTTCAGTTGGAAAATGTATTTATAATTATTTTATCAAATTTCAGAAGAACAAGACAAGAATATTCACCTCGAGTGCACTAATGATGATGATGATGATGATGAAGAAAATGATGATGCTGCTGATGATGTTAATGACAAACCCATTGACCAAAATTTGGCTGGAAAAGAATGTCAGGGATTAAAAGACTGTCATGATCAGAGTATAAAAAATGATTCTAGTCAGAACTGGAACTTAGGCTGTGCTTCTTACTGTAGAGACCACAAGGCACCTATTTATTCCACAATTAAAGGAGAACTTATTGCATGTGACTCAAATATAGCATGTTCCTCCAATACATGGTACCATTTTTTCTGTGAAGGTTTTCGGAGGTTAAACATTGAACTTTATAAATGTTTATAGGGTCAAGAAGTATGTTTGTCAAAAATGTAGACCTTTGCATGATCAGAGCGAGAATTTAAAAATGACAAATGGTTTTTTTTAATTGTCTGTGTGACAATTAAAATTTAGATTTCATACCATTTTAAAGTATGATGGATAAGAATATACATGTATATGGTGCTTTTTAAAATCTGTTTACTTTTTGACACTTTATGTAACTCAAAACACTATTTTAGGACACAAACTATAACAACTGATAGAATCTGAAATTCAAGATCTTTAAAAATTGCCTGATAATCATTAAAAAATTATAACCTGTTTATTAAATTATGGTTTTTAAAAGAGAGTATTATCTTGGTATTTTTTTTAATTCATTATTCAATAAAATGCTCCGCTGGGCGCAGCTTGATACGACCGCAGAGGTCGAACCCTGAACAGTTGGGGCAAGTATGGACACAACATTCAAGCTTGATACAGCTCTGAATTTGGATTGTGATTAAATATTTGACACAGCATAGGTTTCTGACACAGAATGAATGTGGTCTAAGAACTTAAATTTTTTTAATTTACCTATTATGGTCCAATATCCAAAATCTAAATACATGGTTAGATTCAGCATATCAAAGAATCCAAAGAATTCAATTTTTAATGAAATCAAACAAAGTTTAATTTTGGACCCTTTTGACCTCAATGTGGACCAATTTGATAACAGGGCCCAAAAATCAAAATACATGGTTAGATTCAGCATATCAAAGAACCCCATATATTCAATTTTTGTTGAAATCAAACAAAGTTTAATTTTGGACCCCAACTTGGACCAACTTGAAAACTGGGCCCATAATCAAAAATCTAAACACATGTTTAGATTCAGCATATCAAAGAACCCCAAGAATTCAATTTTTGTTAAAATCAAACTTAGTTGAATTTTGGACCCTTTGGACCTTAATTTAGACCAATTTAAAAAACAGGACCCAAAATTAAAAATCTTAATACACGGTTAGATTTGGCATATCAAAGAACCCCAATAATTCAATTTTTGATGAAATAAAACAAAGTTTAATTTTGGACCCTTTTGACCTCAATATGAACCAATTTGATAGCGGGGACCAATAATAAAAAATCTAAATACATGGTTAGATTCAGCATATCAAAGAACCCCATATATTCAATTTTTGTTGAAATCAAACAAAGTTTAATTTTGGACCCCTATTTAGACCAACTTGAAAACTGGGCCCAAAATCAAAAATCTAAATACACGGTTAGATTTGGCATATCAAAGAACCCCAATAATTCAATTTTTGACGAAATAAAACAAAGTTTAATTTTGGACCATTTAGACCTCAATATGAACCAATTTGATAGCTGGACCCACAATTAAAAATCTAAATACACGGTCAGATTTGGCATAACAAATAAATAAATGTGGTCAAAGATTTTACAAATCTAATGCGCCATACTGTGCAATTAAAGACTACTTCTTGAAATTTTTCAATATTTGAAATTTGAAAAAAAAAATTATTTGAAGAATAATTCTTTTTAATTTCTGAAATCTGAAATGAGAAAAAATTGACCCCCCACAATTTCTTTTTACCCCCCATAAAAAAGATTTTTTAAAATAATTACCCATTTAAATTTACCATAGTGCTAACTTAATCTATTTTATAATAGAATTTAAAATATGGTGTCAAATCTTTCATACGGATTTTTTGGTAAAAAAAAAAAGATGCAACATTTGCTAAAATTTTTACTGGTCTTCCTTTATAAATATGCATTTCTTTAAACATAATTTAAAAGCAGTGTAAGGGAAGTAATCAAAACGTTGTATGTGGATTACCTCCCTTACACTGTTTTAAATTGTCTTAATTGTTCATTAACCATTACTTTATACATAATTTAAAAGCAGTGTAAGGGAGGTAATTCAAATGATGTAGACTGCTTTAAATTATGTTTTGTACTAAAGTATTTGTCCATATAAAAATGCTTATTTTTTGCCCCTTTTTTGGCCCCTTATTCCTAAAATTTTGAGGTAATTACCCCCAAAATCAATCCCAGCATTCCCTTTGTGATATGGAACCTTGTGGTACAATGTCAGAGAGATCCATACACTAACACACAAGTTATGTCTGGAAGTTACAAAAAAATTTTTGCGGTCGTATAAAAACCAACAAAAATTTTCAAGAAAAAACATCAATAACAATACATGCAGATCTACAACTTGGAATAAATAAATATTAAATGAATACAAAACATCTATCTTAATCTACATGTAAAGGTAATAGCCCAATGGTCGTTTTTATTTTGAAATACACACACATGTATAACAAATAAACCAAGAAATCTAACTACTTCTTCAAAATTGGGGATTGAAAATTCACCAAGTAAGCACATACGGTAAATATTTGTTCTGCCAAATCTTTCATGGATAACTTTACCTCGCCATCTAGAATATGGAAAGTTTTCACTCTCTGAATGGCACGTTCGACATGAATTCTGACCTTTGAGATATCTTCAGACGTTTTGGCTTCTGAACTTTTCAACTGTGCTCTTTCTGTACCCTTGAAAGACGGCATGTGCAGCTTAACACCCATGTCATTCAATATTCCACTTATCAAAAAACCCCTATCAGCCATTACAGAACCTTTATTGACTTCTAAGTTATGAAGAAGGTCAACTGAGTCGCATGTAATAAATTTATCTGATGCTCGACCACCATACATCCTGCTTACATAAGTTATCGCCATCTGTGGACTAACACCAATCAAAAACTTGAAAGTGTTGTGGTGCTTATAATTTGAGAAAACTTGTTTTCTTGCATCAAGTTTGCTAGGATTTTGAACAAATATTTCAGTACAATCTATTATCACCCTTACATCTTCAAAATCCTTCAAAGCGTGTGATTGATTTTCATTCAATACCTCTTTTGAAGGTACTTCACATAGCTCCTTTAGATCAACATACATAAGATTTATCCAAGAGCTGAAGATTTGTGAAACCAAACCAACACTGAGTGAAAACCTGATTGCCAAATCTTCAACCAATAAGCCAACTTTCAAACGCACCATAGTTAAAAAGAATTCATCAAGTAATGAAAGCTTCCTCTCGGGACCTTTTTTCCTATCAGAAAATGTATCAGGCATGCCTGCATCACCTTTCCAATATCTCATGTTTGTAGTCCTTGGTTCAAAATATTGAAATAAAGCAAAGAAATTCTCATAATTTGAGAATCCTGTCCAAAAAAGCATGCGTTTTGGATTTTCCTTGATGTTTTCTAAGCTCAAAATCTGCTTAGCTTGGCTTTCATTAATTTTTTTCAGACGATCAAGTTCATTCATTTTTTTCAGACGATCAAGTTCATTCATTTTTTTCAGACGATCAAGTTCATTCATTTTTTTCAGACGATCAAGTTCATTCATTTTTTTCAGACGATCAAGTTCATTCATTTTTTCTTTAATTTCAGGTACATATTCTTTAATTAACCAATAATTTCCTTTCTCAGTTTCAGTATTTATATAATCATGATTATTAATCTGAGGTATTATCGGTTCATATGGCTTCTTATCTAATGGACGCCCTACTTGATTATTGGCAACTGTGATATCTTGAAATAATCTTTTTTTTCTCTGTCTGGTCTTGTTTTCTAACTTCCCTGTACATGCTGTAGGACAAGATGTATGTGTATTTGCTAATGTTATATTATGGTATAGAATAAATAAGTGTAGATTATAAGGTTTTCTGCACATCTTTATTAGAAATATCAGATATGATCCAAAATGTGAACTTTTTTAAACAAGTGATAACGATATTAAACTACCAAAAAAGAAAGCTTAATATCGTGTCCTATATTATCAACATTATTTATGACTGTTTTTATATTTTGCATAAGTCTTACATTGTATCGAGATTAAAATACTTTCTCTAAATTTTTGAAGAAGTGGTTTAAAAATCTGAGTTTTTGTTTTTTAACCTAAAATATTGAATTCTTTCTTTATATTGGAGATGAAAATCTGGAAATATTTGAATTTTTCTACTGTAACTTATTATTTATTAAGTAACAACACTTTTTGCTCACTTGACCCAAAGGGCCAGTTGAATTTTTACTATCACTTGGTGTCGATGATGTTAATGTTGTTTTAAAACTTGTTAATTTGATAGGATGTACATGTATGTCATGTATGCATTTCATCAATGTGCTTCACATTTTGTTTCTGCTGTCTTGATATAGAATGTCCAATAAGGACTCTGGTGCATTCATGTCAGTTAGCACAGTTTTTGTATGAAATAATTATGCATTTTAAGCCTCACTGACACAAAAGTGGGTGAGGGGTGTATATGAGTATCTTGTGAAATAATTGCCATCTGTCTATTTTTTATTTGTTCTTCAGTCACATTGTTTTTATACATTTAGTTGTAAAATACCCATTAAAACATTTTTTTTCATATTTACATGTAAACACTAATTATATAAGTCTGAACCATATAAGGGAGCTACCATTTGATTTTTATGGGGGCTAGGATGAAAAATTTTGTCCTGCTTTTTTTTAGTTGTAATCTGTGTCCTGCCTTTTTATTTCTTACTCTATTCGGTCCTGCCTTTTTTTTTTACTAGTTTATCCTGACTTTTTTTTACATAAATTGTCATCCTGCCTTTTTTTTTTGCAAAGTGTCTCATCCTACCTTTTTTTTTACTCAAAACTCCTGTCCTGCCTATTTTTTTCAAATTTCATCCTAGCCCCCCATAAA